TTCCATGCTGAAACATATTAATAGTTACATTGCAGGAAGAGAACAAAACAGTGCTTATATAGTAATAGTGACTGAACTTAATAAGGAAAAAGATAACCCTCCGTACCAAAAGAAACAGTGAAAGGATGCCTCAGAGGAGACACTGTAATGAGCATGTAAGTACTTGCAATTAAATGTTAAATTTCATCCACGTCACGTTACTTATGAAGTAATGTTCTTCCCATTTCCCAAAACAAACTCGATTGAACATTGAAGTGTTGAATAAAGTAAAAAGCCAAAAAAAAAAAAAAAACTTTAAAAAGAAAAATACCCAAATAAACGTCGGCATAAAATATAGTGAGAAATGTAGAGAACTCACCCATTAATTTGCGGTTCTAATAAATAAGTTAATCGAGCTTATGCATTAGTATTTTTAAAAATTTAATTATTAATTTGTGTACAAAGGAATAAATAAGGTGATTTTAATATGGAACCAAATATGTAGGTTGATAGTTGAAAAGTTTGAAATAAAACTGGTGTGAAAATGATAAGTTGACCTAAGAAAAAGTGAAAGTGATAATTGAAACTTTAAATAATGATATTTCTGAATATTTAATCTTCACAATCTCTTTATCGATCCAGTTAGATTTATTTGGATTATTCAAAAAATTAGAGGAGACCAAAGTTTTATCCTGGCTTGTATAACGGTTGAGAGATTTTTTAAGAATAAAATTTGTAGAAGTGTTTTCTGTTTTTAAAAGTAATTTACAAAGAAACTCTCTTTTTAAAAAGGGGCGAAAGAATTTTCTTTCACACACACATATACACACACACACATATATATATATATATATACATATATATATATATATATATATATTCGTAAGTACAAAGTTAAAATATCTCTTCGGTTATTTATATTAAAGTCACTTATCCCTAATTTTTTTCTTATCATTCCATCGAATTTTTTTTTATATCAAAGTTCGTCTAAATTCAATTTTATAAATAAGAATATGTCAAAAATACTTTTTTTTTATTGTTTGCGGGTAAAATGGATAACTATCTTATCTAACAAAATTATTTCATATCAAAAGTGAGGCTATATATGTCAATTGTCGAGTGATTCAATTTACTAAACTTTAATAAAAAAGGTCTATACAAGTTTCTTTCTAAAATTTGTGGTTAGAAATAATGTGTAATTATGCAAATTTGTGTTATTAATTTTTAAAAGTTTAGCCACATTTCTTTTCTGAATTTCTTGATCCTACTATAAACATTGTTTCTTTGGTTAGCAAGAATTAAAGTTTTAAAATACCATTGTTGTCGCATTACAATTACGGTTGTTGCGATTTCAAAAGAATGTAAACAAATACTTTCATGTGGCTCCAAAAAAATTGTCAATATAACAAACAGTCTCTTTATTTTGTTTTGTCATATATGTAACTCAAATATATATCAATTTTTCGTAAAAACACTTAATTACTCGATTGACAAAATAGAATAATTTCTCTTCTTAAAAATGAGAATAAATTAAATTAATACATTCTCTTTTCATCTCTATCTGTAGACATAACTACTCTATGATGTTGAATAGGGAAATGTAATATGTCTAGGCTTTAATGATTTGCTTTTACTTGTGATGACCAAGTTGCTTGTGGAACCGTGTAATTTAGCTTGCAGACTTTGCCGGTGAAGAGCTCTAAGACTTGACTTTTAACCAGAGCTACTAAATTACCCTGCTTGTTTTTTTACCATGTACAAGTCATAAAAGATTAGAACCAAAACCAACTACGTGAACCTCTTCTGGACCAACCAGGAAGCAGCAAACAACAGCTACGTACTGGTACAAGATAAGGCAAACAGTGAGTACTGAATAGGATCATTGAGAAGGATAAGGAGGTGGTGGAGCTACAAAGAATGCTATAATAGCTAGATAGATAGAGGAGATTGGAAAACCGTGCCACTTGTCCAAAGTAATTGGAAACATGTATTATTCCCTGGTGTTTGTGAGGCCTTTTCAAGTTCTAATATTCTAGTGGAAAAATATCTTACCAACCATCTCAAAGTGACATTTGCTTTAATATTCCTTTCATCAGAATTTTAGATTATCTTTTTGTTTCTTCTAATAAATAAAATAAAATTGTCATCCGTAATTATAAAACCTCATTATTTGCTATCCTTGCTATCTCCTAACTTTAAGTCATCTTGGTCAATGTGGTAAACACAGATAAATTAAAATACACAGACAGGAAGTTGCCAAGAAAGTCATATGGTTATGGACCTGCATTTTTTTATGTCTATTCTATGAGAATATGCATTTTGCATAAGGTATCCATCCTACTTCTACTTTTTGCACATAACAACAAATAGAAACTTATGCGTCAATTTTCCATATATCTTACTAGGGTTTTATAATTCTCATTTAACATGAGAATTATAATTTTCCTACGCACCTTTCGATTTCTGTGCTGACATAGGTCTTACATATAATTTTTTCTAACACATGGGTCCCACATATTTTTTATCTCTACAACATGAGATTTCAATTCTCCTTCAACATGAGAATTATAAAACCCATCTTAGTAACTTTCTTTCTTTGTTTTCTTTTGAAAGAAAATTTATTAGTAGTGATATATACACTCTGGTAAATGGTTTGTGAATTGATGATTATCAAATTGGGAAAATAGAAGGGTCAAGGATGTAAATCAAATCAATGAAATAATACAGAAAAGTCCATTTTTGATATTTTAGCCGGTTTAATTCATTTTGAGCTTTGTTTGACTTATGAGTGATGATTCTCCCAATACTTTTTTTTTTTAGGACTCGAACTCAATACTCTTGATCAAAAGTAACAAACTTTTTACCAATTGAACAAGCTTCCACATTCTATCTTAGTTTATGTGCAAAATGATGACTTGCTATAATTATAATGGCAAGAGACAAGCACTGATCCTAAACTCAATTTGGATTAAACTTGAAGCTTGGGTTATCTTCAAAGACAGGCATTACTGCATGTCCACGTAAAATTAATATTGAAGGTAATGCTGATCCACTACTCTCTCTCCTATTGCATTGTTCCACATCAAAAGTGAAAAAAATCAAGCATTAGCTAAACCTTCTTTTTTGTTCCTGTTGTCCTTTACCCGTGGACCACCTCCACTACTGGAAAAATATAGGTCAAATATAGATATGCATAAGTAGTTCCTATATACCCTTCAAAAGGATAGCGTAACAAGAGCCACGAATATACGTATATACACATACACAGACACAAACACACACCCTAGTTTCAACTGAAACCAAGACACTTCTGACTAATGAGGAGAAACAAGGAGAGAGAATGAAGGGGAGTGCAGAGGGGGTGGAGTGTGTTCCAAGACACAATGATTACATGGTCTTGGGGAAGCAGAAAGGGTGGCGTGGACATTGTCACATAGCCAAGAGTATGGAAGAACGTGGGGGCTTGACCGAGGAATGAAGGAAAAGGAAACGCCAAAAGGGAAATGGCAAAGGCAAAAAATAATACCCAAAATAAGGGATTAAATAAAAACTTAAAATATATAAAAAAAAATAACAAAATGAACTAACTAAAAATTTAAAAATATAACTCCAAGGTGTAGCTCAGTTAGTAAGTGGACTGTAGCTAAAGGGTCGAGTCTTTTGATGAAGTCATGTCGTCGATTTTTACTATAAGCATTTCAGGGTCAGTGGTAAGAATTGTTATCCTAATCACAAAAAAATTAGTCTCATCCTGGTAAAGATATGAGAATAGATTCTCTCATGTGTAAAAGTGATGATATAGTCGTGTTATTTGATCACAACCACTTATTGATGATAAGATAAGAGAGAGAGAAATATATAATTTTTAAATAAATAATTGTGATCAAATAACATAACCACATTATCACTTTTTCATATGAGAGGATCAATTCCTTAAGGACACCACGAGTTTATTAAAAAAAACAAAATATAAAGAAAGAAAGAAAAAGTTAAGCTAAGCTTTTTATCATGATGATACTATCAGCCTTTTTGGGTCCTTGGTCGGTCGACAATCTGTGTGTTGTGTTCACTCTGTCTTTGCTTCTGTTTCCCATCCCCATCTCTCTCTAACACACAACTAGTGTAATGTAATTATTCACTTTGAACCATTCACAAGCAACCAAAAACAAATTTTACTTTATGAGGTTATACTATATATTTGATGTTTATAAAAACATTATTCAATGTAAGATTGTTGTACAAAGAAGATACCACACACAGACACCCTGAAAGCTACATGGAATGATGTAGATAAAGTTAATCCCGTAAGAAGAAAGGAAAGGGGACTAGCAGTACTCAAACAGGCTCTATATATTTTAGAGGGTGAAGGCTTCAGAGTGCATAGAGAAAAAAGAGATCAAAGAGAAAAATAAAATAAAAAACCAAAAAGAGACCAACAAAGCATAAAGGAAAAGGAAAGCTCTATTGAAGGCAAAGGATAAAAAGGGTCATTGCCTTACCCTCAACAAAGGTTGTGGCAGAAATAAACCTACCAAGAGATTTGAGATTGAGGCACAGTGAGTGAGAGAGAGAGAGAGAGAGATCCAAGGCCTTGGCCTTTTCTTTCAACACCCAACAGAAAGAAACAAAGAAAGTAACTGATTGATCCTCAGCTAGCATAAGAGAAATACAAGACAGAATTAGAAGACCATAATCAGGCTTCACACATCAAAGGAAGGTTTTTGTCTTTTTTCTTTTTCCTTTTTTCAACAACGTGGTCCTTTAATGTCCATTTCAATTCTTATTCCTTGCGCAAGTGTAAATCAAACTTCTTCTCAATACCTTTTTTATTTTTCTTTTCAGTTCTTTTTCTAAGTCATATCAGACAAAAAAAAAGGTTGAAAACCTACCTCAACTTTCTGACATTTGAACCTCAAAATTCCTTCTCTTTTCACTTCAAGATATATTCATATATATAAATATAAAGCTTTGGAGTTTGGATTAATTCTCCAGAGTTCATATAAAACAAGAGAGAGAGGGAGATGAAAAAGGAAGAAACTCAAGGGCAGTGTTCTTCTCAAGAGATCAATAACAACATTCAGAGCTATCAAGAGCAGCTATTCCTTCAGCAACAACAGATGCAACAACACCAACAACAACAACAAAACGGTGATAATATCTTTGGAGGTGGAAGAGGGTTATTGTTCCCTGAAGTTTCTCCAATCTTGCAACCATGGTCCATGCCTCCGGTTCACTCCTTCAACCCGGTCCGAGACCATGACCCGTTTCTTGTCCCTCCCCAACCTTCACCCTACGCAAGCTATTTCAACAGAAGGGTTCCATCACTTCAATTTGCGTACGAGGGTCCATCTTCTGAACATCTAAGGATCATATCAGATACCCTTGGACCCATGGTTCAACCCGGTTCAGCTCCCTTTGGACTCCAAGCCGAGTTGGGTAAGATGACTGCTCAAGAAATCATGGAAGCTAAGGCTCTTGCAGCTTCCAAGAGTCACAGTGAAGCTGAAAGAAGACGCAGAGAGAGAATCAACAACCATCTTGCAAAGCTCCGTAGCTTGTTGCCCAACACAACCAAAGTAAGTTTAATTAAATTAATTAAATTCTTCCCCAGCACTCAAATTCCAAATTTAAATTATAATATTAAAATTAATCATGTCATGCTAACGTAAGAAAAAAAAAATTAAAATCTAGTATATGATCACGCCTAAAACATGTGTTGTTGTATACATTTTTTTTTTTTTTTTTCATTTCTTCATCGAGTACTTGTAAATCTTGCTAAGATTCTACACATTACATTGGTCTGATATAACCACAACCAAAATCTTATAACCTTAAGAAAATGAGGTGCAAACCTTTCTTTTTTCTTTTTTTTTTACTAGTCTTCCTCTATGTGTGGTAGTTCCGAGGAGGTTATTGGTAGAAAAAGCAAATAAAGATGAAAGAAAAGGGTATTGATACGATAAAGAGGAACCAAAGAACAGTTGAAAAGTTACACATGGAAATTTCTTGCCGGATAATATTGAATAGTCAGAGAGACAAAGAAGCATCCTTTGCAGTCACGCACACTCATCTATATATATATATATATATATATATATATATATGGGTTAGGATCATTTTACACCAGTGTAAGTTACACTCTTAATATTGTCCACTGATCCCATTTATATCTAAGGGCTCAAATTGTTTAGTAATGTAAGCCATTGGATACAAGTGAATCAATGGTCAAGATTGAGTGTAAGACTTCTAACTCTTACACCAGTGTAAGAATATCCTACCCCTATATATATATATATATATATATATATATATACACACCTATCTCAACTCAGCTATAGATGCTGCATGCTACTTCCACTGTTCAAAAAAACCATCTTAGTTTTTGGAGTGGATCTTCTAATGATAAAATTTCACATGACATATGTGTCTATTTTTTTGTGTTTACATGTATTAAATAGGTGAGACTCAATTATTATTAATGAAGAGAGAGATAGACACAAAAATAGGATTCATTCTATCTAGTTCCATTCCATAATCATCAAGCTATAACCTATCTACTTCATAACATACACAGAACCCCATCATTTTCTTTTCACACCATGCACAATTTCCGAGCTTTTTTATTACTAATTATATGATTTTTTATGTTATTTTTTTTGTGATTTTGTAGACAGATAAAGCTTCATTGCTGGCAGAAGTGATTCAGCATGTGAAGGAACTGAAGCATCAAACATCGTTGATAGCGGAAACGAGTGCAGTGCCTACTGAGGCCGATGAACTAACGGTGGATGCAGCTGATGAGGACGGAAAGTTTGTGATAAAAGCCTCATTGTGCTGTGAAGATAGGTCAGATCTCTTAACTGACCTCATCAAAACCTTGAAAGCGTTAAGGTTAAGAACCCTCAAAGCTGAGATCACAACGCTTGCTGGGCGTGTTAAGAACGTGCTTTTCATCACTGGGGATGAGGATTCAAGTAGCAGTAGCGGAGAACAGTGTTGTATAAGTTCAATACAAGAAGCACTGAAGGCAGTGATGGAGAAGAGTGGTGGTGAGGATTCAACAGCTTCTGGGAATGTTAAACGCCAAAGGACTAATATCAACAATATCCTTGAACAAAGGTCTTTATGAATATTATTATTATTATTATAAGCAGTGACATTTATTATTTGGTTTATATTATTTTCTATTTTCTTCTCTCTCTCTTTTTCTCTTTTGTTGTTGTTGTTTGGGGTTTGATTTTTTTTGGTAGTTTGGGTTTTATTTGGGTTTGGTTTTGTTGTTTATTGTGTGTGCCAGAAAATATCATTATATAATGTAACAAGTTCATCATCGTAATCATCATGAAGCAATGGGGTAATTGTATAATGTGATATTTGTACATTGTACTTGTTGCTTGCTTGAGTTGAGTCCAAAGAGAAAGAAAGAGAGAGAGAGAGAGAGAGAGAGAGAGAAGGGTTGGAGTTGGTTAGGGAAAAAAACAGTGAAGAATCTTTTTCGTGGGAAGAGAAACCTTATATGAAATCCTAACATGGAAAATGAGGTATATATTGATTACTATGTGAGAAGAGAAACCATCTGCATTAATTCAAGTATATATATATATATGCGGCAACTGCCTGGGCTGTTTTGTTTTGTTATGAAGTTTTATTAATTCTTGTACATATATATATATATAGCTGTGGTGTTTTCTTCTCTTCCTCTCTCTCTTTACAGAGTTGAGAGAGTAGTGCAAAAACGCTGCTTCCATTCAGAACACTATGATTATCTTCTTTAGGATGGTGACGATTCAGTTATCGTCATGTGCTGCGTCCCCACATGGCCACTGGTAACCACCACCTTCTTCTCTCTTTGTAAATGCTATTCTAGCCTTTACAATTATACGTTATCGTAACCAATCATAATAAACTTCTTCTTAACTATATTGAAAATGCTATATTTATAATATGTTTATTTTTATATTTATTATTTAATATTAAAACAATATTTTAGTGAGATATAACGTTATTCATGATAGTCCTCATTCCATGTATTTCAGCATTCTTTAAAAAAAAAAAAAAAAAAACAAGGGGCCGGGGAGGTGGGGGAATAATGAGACTGGTTGTTCTTCAAAGTCTCCCGAGATCATCAATATTTAATAAATTCTTATAATATTTACTTTATATACAAATCATATTTTTTTTCTATAGAATAAGGAACTATTTTGCGATTTACAATTACAAAAACTTGTAAGTTTTGTCATAAAAGTTAAAACTCTAATTTATGAGTAGTTTGAATTTTATTTAAAATGATATATATTTCGGTCAATTTTCGCGTAATCACTAATCAATATTAAGTCAGATTATATTTATAAATTTTTTATTTATAAATTTTTTATTTACAAACTTAACTATTATTTCTGGAAATAAATCCGATAGGAATGTGTTTCAACAAATACATAATATAGTTTGTAAGATTTTATAAATAAATAACATACCACACACACATATATAGAGAGAGACCACGATGATATATATAGTATATGGATTCGTTTTTTCTGCAGTCACTGCAGATAAGTTGTCTGCAGTAAGTCCAATACGACACCATTTTGGGAGAAAATCATAGTATTTTTGTAATTTTGATTTATTTCAGAGTTATTATAGTCTTTATAATTATAATTATAATTTTTTTAATCTTTCAATCCCAAAACGACTAAATGCAGAACAATAACTGCAAAAGTATTTTTCTGATAATATATTTAAAAAATATATAAACATTATGTTACTAGACAGGAAAACAAGTTTCCTGCTGATCATTCATAAATGTGCCTTCTTCTTCTTCTTTTTAAAAACAATGTGGACCGATTGCAAGATTCTTTTTTCCCATGACAATGAACAATCTCATATTTAAATGATGGAAAATCTTTTTCTTATGTTGTTGGAGATGAGTTATATTATGTTCGTGAAATAAAATTATAAGAGGAACCCACAAATGATTGGAGAGAAAAAAAAATAGAGGTGGGACCCATCGTTGTTATGTATGTGTAGGAAGATGGGTTATCTCATGTTAAAGGATATAAATATAACTCTTAAATGAATTATTTCTCTAGATAATGGTTCAACGTTAAGATCCGAATAATTAATATAAGAAATACACTTTCTAATTACTTGGCCAACTGCTTAGTCCAGCCAAAAACAAATCTAGATGTGATACACAGCAAGATCAGATGTTTCTTAATTTTGGAAGATTAAGTTCATTTGAAGCGGCAAGTTCTTTAACATTCGCATTCTTGTAAATAACCCCGTGTCAAAGTAAAATAATCAAAGGCTAAGTTTTTTTAAAAAAAATAAATTTTATTGGGTTAACTAGTCATAAAAGTTAAATATATGTTTGAATTGGCTTTTTTTGTTGCATTAAAAAATATATCAAGAAAAAACTGTCTAAAATATTTCGATTATAAGCAACAAATTAATCTAAATACACGCTAAACGAACCTTGAATGTCTAGAGTCTACCATGTGAAGCGAGAAGTGTTAAATATTATATTTGATTATTTTCTAATATTTGGTTAGAGTTTATATATGATTTATTTTAGCTTTAACTTCTGTGCATAATACTCTCAACTTTTGAAATATACAATTTGCTCTATTATAATATAAGTTACTGAATGATGTAATGGTTATAAAATGCATATGTCAAAATAGCTTAATTTATTTTTTCAAAAAAAGAAGAAGCATAATTTAGTCTCGGACATAATTTTTACGCGCGGTGCTATATAGAAGTTAGTTAATAAGCTAATAGCTTTCAATAAAAAAGGTTAGAAAATGATTTGATTATTACCTCGACTAAATTACCTCGACTAAGTTGCCATCATGGTTTTTATAAATTGTCAACTCAGATACAGTGAGGTTGACTCGATTAGAGGGCTAGATTATTGAATTAAATATCTCACCACAGGTAATTAGGGGGTTGAACTTCAAAATTCAAATAACCTGTAATTAAGTACATATGATTATAACACATGCTATTGATGCCCTTGATCAGAGCTCTAATTGATGTCCAGTGTTATTTTATGACGCTAATATATTATTTTAAATTTATAATGCCATAAAAATATATATATTCTACGTGGAAAATAGCTTTCATTTAGAAAGAAAAGTAAATACATCATGGCAAGCCAAAGCGATTTTTTCTAGGGAAGCATCCTCTATCCAGGTAGAATTTGTAAGGGCAGATGCGAGCTTTGTTAGTTAATTTCAGTAAGGTTTAATACCAAAGTATGAGTCATATATTTCTTCTCTTTTGTTGATTGCCTGCACCACCTACAAACAATTTTGTTTCATCAAAAAATGTCAAGGAAACACATGGTCCATTGTAAGCCAAGTCATCCGAAGTTTAATAGGACTTTTCTATAAGTCATCTTGCACTAACCTCTACCCTTTTCAAAAATAATTTTGTTGCATACCAACCACATACTATAGTCCTACACTAGTGAATTATGGAGTAAATCTGATATCAGACCTTGAAAATTGAAATCACTATCCTCTTGTAAAACTTATCGTGATAGGTGTTATGAACCATATTCGTTTTAAATCCTTTCTTTTGCTTAAAATCTTCATGGATTCATGCCCTATAAGTGGATGGTTTGTAGTTTGTAACCCCTTCTTATCAGATTCACTTGAGTTGGCAAGGCAATATGCCGAAGTTCAAAGAGAAGGTTTTTGATCCTTGGAGATAATTTAGCTGCCACGGCCTATTTCAACACTTGAAATCTCCATCATGGTTGAAACTTGATATCTATATTCGCCTAGCTAGTCCAACAATTTAATAATGTCGTATGCTGATTAAACACTCTAGCCTCATCTTTGTACCAATCCAAATGCATTGGTCTAGAATTGTGGTGGGGTGCAAAAAAGAGTCAAGAGGCATGTTGAGAATTTACTGTGTTTAAAAGGGAAGATAATAGCTTCTATCAAAAGGCCAGTTCGATTACTTAAACTTCATCTATAAAGTTTTATTTAATAATTACTAGCCATCGATGAATCTGTGTTTGTCATCAATCTCCAGAACTTGTTTATCAAGAAAGCCATGTGAAAAGCATGAAATTAGAAGTTCTATATCCCATTTTCCCTTTCCTTATTTGACTCAGACGGTAAGTCAATCAATTGAAAAATTAATGAATCTTTACAACCACAACAGAAGTTACTTATATTCAATAAGACTAACCCAAGTTGTTAAAAACAAGTCATGCTATATATTTTAGGATAGACTGAGTAAAATATTTTATGATCAAAACTTCCTTGTCTTCGTTTTACAGAACTCTTTCCTTCCATCCATTTACCTCTTCCCGACTGTTAAAGCTGGAGTGTAAAGTTCAAACATAAAGCTTCATAGAAGAAAAAGAAATAAAAACAGCGATTATAGTACTGAAATATTAATGCAATTTAACACAAAAGGATCTATCTGTTGGGCTGTGCTGAGAGCTCATGGCGGAAAGAGACCACCAACCATGGACACCGCAGCAACATTAAGTGGTTTCAGAACACATTAGGTGCATAGGTCCTTCCACTTATATGGTGTTCACTTAGTCTATTCTTAACCAATGTGAGACTTTTTCACTCGATCATTCACACTTGCATTCCTCACCACTATCTCCTGAACCCCTTAATGAATAACAGTTATTTTTATTGTCTACAAATACTCAAGAGGGATGAAGGACATAAGGGGCTGGAAAATATTCACTTGCACATACCTCTATTTATTTACACACCTCCGAGATATATAGCTTTACGGAATTAGTTAATTAGAAAAATATTCCTGCAGTTACTATGCATATAAGTTATTTATACTTATTTTTGAAATGACGTCGTTTTGAGATTGAAATATTAAAAAATTATAATTATAAAAACTATAATAACCCTGAAATAAATTAAAATTACAAAAATATTATAATTTCTGTCCTAAAACAACATCATATTAAACTTACTGCAGATAACCTATCTACGTTAAGTGCACTTCCATCATGTTCACATAATCCCATTCATGTACTTATACAATTCAATAAGAGTTCACTTCTAGATACACAATTATCTAGAGTACAGTGCACTCCAAGAAATATTTGTAATAAAAACAAACATAATGTATTAAAAGCAT